CGTAAGATTTGTTAAATAAAAGGGAACTCTTTAGCTACAATGTATCAATGTTATGTTATAAAACAAATGGTAAACACCACAGCGTACACTATTGAGTTATGGATGCACTTGGGAGGTTTGCTAAGCACTCAAGAAGCCAGAGTCGCTCTCGGCTATCGCCTCGAGCGACTCTTACGCTTCTTTCGTGCTTAGCAACCTGCCGCGTGCATCCATAACTCAATAGTGTACGCTGTGGTGTTTACCATTTGTTAAGTGGAGGCATAATCGTGCCAGTGAAAAGGATGGGCCTGCATACTTGGTTCACAAAACTGACTGAGCCTGTCCCAGTTTATTGTAAGCATGGAGCGACTATGAGTCAGCTTTGTGAATCCCCCCCTAATCCATTGCAGGTAAAAAAAAAACTAGAGGTAAAGTCTGTTCTCGAGCCATATGGCCCATCCAGCCAGAACTCATTCCGGTTTCCATAGCAACAAGCAACTGGAATGCTGGTTCATCGCTGGTTAAACTCTCAGCAGTTCATCCTTTCACTCACAAGATCTCATTATGAACTTTCCCCTCTAGCTGCTACACATTTCCTTGTAAATAAGTGACCAGAATTTAGTGTTCCATCAACTTCTACCTGATAGGTAAGAGCATTCTCATTACCTATGTGCTGAATAATGTATGGATATTATAGGGAGAAGTTACATGTTAATCACTTTTGAGAGTTAGAGGGTTATCCCATCTATACTCCTTGGTGGAGATAGACACTGCGAGCGTTAATTGTCTTGTCAAACAACACAGACACAACACAAACACTGTGAGCGTGAAGTGTCTTGCTAAACAATACAACAACACAGACACAACACTAACACTGTGAGCGTGAAGTGTCTTGCTAAACAATACAACAACACAGACACAACACATACACTGTGAGCGTGAAGTGTCTTGCTAAACAATACAACAACACAGACACAACACAGACACTGTGAGCGTGAAGTGTCTTGCTAAACAATACAACAACACAGACACAACACAGACACTGTGAGCGTGAAGTGTCTTGCTAAACAATACAACAACACAGACACAACACAGACACTGTGAGCGTGAAGTGTCTTGCTAAACAATACAACAACACAGACACAACACAGACACTGTGAAACAACACAACACGATGGACCAGCCAGGTCTTAACCTGGACTTCTCGACTCGAAGTCCAACGCACTAGCTGTTAGGCTACCACGTCTCTCAACCCAAGACAACACGTCAGGTTTCCCTTGCAGTCCGCAAACACCTACCTCTCCTGGGAGGAGAGAGGCACTGTGAGTGAGGCGTCTGGCTACAGGACAAAGCAGAATGACTCAGACCAGGGCTTGAACCCGATCTGGGAAAGTGTTCCGGATATAGAAATAAACAACAATCCGCGCTGGGTGAGTATGGCTTTTCAGGATACATACCGTCAACTGACACTCCCCTTTGCTGAACCTTGCTCAACCTTTGTAGCAAAGACACACTGTAGAGAAAAGAAAAACTCACATTACTGGATTTCACCATTTTACCGCACTGCTCTTGTAAAACCCATGTGAAAAATTTAGAGTATTGAATCTTGTAGGTGACCTCGACGTTTGGGATAGGACAACTGAACTAAGTTTCACATCTTTTCAATTTTTAATACAAATAAAGTAATTAGTGAACTGTATAACACCAACGTTTTTGCATATGGCGACGGATAAAGCTTCTTTGCTCACCTGTCTTTGACAAGAATCTTTTTGCAGCCTTCACGAAGAGAGATCTAAATATAATACATCGACTCAGTTTGAATGACACGGGTCACATAACAAAACTCTACAAGTATTCAATGTACAAGCAAATAAATCTGGTGACGAACCAAGTAAGCGCAGTTTTCAACTGAGTGAAACCAAAACAAAAGTAATCACAGCGACCAATTAGAAGAAAGATTTACATCATCATTAGCCAATGAGAACTCGAAGTGAAAACAAGAAAACTGCTGAAGCGCGGGAAAACGCCAATGACCAAATCGCGATTGTTTTCAGTTTTGCATCTGATTGGATGAGAGGATGGCGTGAGTTTTCTGGACCACTCACAGAGTATGGTTAGGTAAAACCAGCGTAGTCCTGGATTACTTTTCGACACCGAAAGATTGTTCCATTTAGTAATTTCTTCTCAAGGCGAACACAAAGGGAAATCAAAGGGGAACTACTTCAAAGGGATGAACGGAGTACACCAAAACGGATAACAAAGACGCATGAACTTTTATCTCAACGAAACTCAAAGTTGGGCACATAAGATAAGCTGACGCAATGTAAAACTTTTATCACCACTTTATTCCAGCCAATTACCTGCAAGTTGAAGTCTTGAAGAATTTTCACCAATGAATCTCTCAAACCAGGAATCTTCATACCTTCAGGAATTCTCTGAGAATATGAAAGAAAGCATGTAGTCGAGTCAAGCGTGGCCTGATTACAATTTATTTACGTTTTCTTTAAGTTAAGTCGCGGGGGTCATGGGGTGGCGGAAGAGGTTTGCGTTCTCGCCCCAAATCTTCGCACTGATGGCTTACCTCACACTTCTCCCACTTGGTTAAAAGAAAACAGAAAGAACTGCTTTACAGGTTAAACCATGAGTCACGTGGCATACCTGTATGAGTTTGATCGGATCAACATAAGTCCCAATATTTTGCAAGAGCCCTGTGATAAACTCTGTGAATAAAATAAAAAGTTAAGTTTAAGGGAAATTCAAATGTTCTTAAAAATATCTGCTTTTTACTTTAAGTTCCAAAATGATTATCTCGGTCGAGAGAGAACGTAAAAAGATATTTTTTTGCGCCTTGTGCACGTGATAAAAAAAAGGTGATGAGAGCACGTGCATACAGACTGACGGAGTATGGGACATACCTGGTTTGTCAAGAGAATAATTGATCAGATCGTCCCACAAATCCTCGTCGTCTTGCTCTTTGACGAATTCAATTGCCTGTCAATCAATAAATATTATGTCATTCATGCACTGACAATGACTTAGCTCTAATAAAACGCTACTAATCACACATGTCTTCGTAAGACTTGCCTTTTCTACATCATCTTCTTCCTGAATTATCAACTGCAAAGCTTGTTTGTTGTTTCCCATGCGACCTAAGCGAAAAAAAGATAAAAAGTAACGAACGTCAAGACTCCGTATTCTTCTGCTAGGACGAATTTGCCCAAGCTGGGTTGTGTTCAGACAAGTTTCCTTGGCATTCAGTGTACACGGGGAATTGGGACTCATTTTCCCCACACAACTTATCAATTAATGATTACAACTTAAATTCCAACTCTATACTCACTGAGCAAAAAAACCATCTCCGGAACCAAGCGCCTCTGTTCACACTCGTTTAGAGCCTGGGACAGAATCAAGAGTGAGATGTTCATAAATTGTAGTTGGAAGATCGAAGCGAATTACAACGTAAAAATGGTAAAAGTAGCTCTTGCAAGTTAAGACTTACCTTTTGCAAAGGGTAATAATTGCTGTTTCTCAGGAAAGTAAGCAATTTTGGACGCTCAAGCTCTGCATAAAGAGGAATCTGAAAAAATATTTTGGGACCACATTAGTGTCCCGATGCTCGATGCTATGATATAATTGCTTATCTGCTCTGAAAATATTACAAGTACTTCAACAAAAGCTTATCAACTGAACCATTTGACTTTTGAAGGGTGAGTGGTTAGCGCAAATACCAAAAAGAATCTCTGACATAACTTTCCCGCTCGTTTTGGCGCGCACAAATTTCTCGCCCTCAGCGCTGAGGAGGGTCATATGCTCTCCGCGTTATGAGTGTCTTTACCACTGAATCATTTGATTGGTTGAGCGGATGTCACAAGTTTTCTGGAACAATCACAGAAAATAGTCAAGTAAAACCAAAGCAAATTACTTTCGACACTCGATGGTGAATTGGTCAATCAGTTTAACGTAGTTCATGGTATAAGGCTATGAATTATGTCTCGCTTAGATTTATCAACAACAAAGAAAGGATAGCAGTAGTATAGCAAAAAACTATTACATTAAAATTCTTATACCTGTAGTTCGTGATAATCCATCCCGGCCTGTGGATCCTTCACAAATAGCGAGTCAAGATACTAAAAAAAAGGAAAAGCCATTCCTGAAAATGTCCTTCAGTGCAGAAATAACCTTAAATAATCCTTAAATCAGCTAAAAAAATATACCACATCATTTCTTGAAGACATTTTTTTTAACAACGGTGGAAATTACTTAAAATATTACGCCCCAACTCCTATAAGATATAATCATTTCTTTTATCTCCCTTCAGAACGAACCGTAACGATTGGAAGAAATCGGGAGAGCGATTCCTCTTTGCGGAGAATCTGACTTTGAATCAATCCACCAAACAGTTACGATACTAACCACATGAAGAAGTTCTGATCGCTTGTTTAGTTGTCGCACAACCTCTTCAACCTGAGATTGATTGATCAAGAGTTAGAACATCCAAAACAGAATAATCTGACAGGACCTGACCACTGAGTTAACCTTTAACTGGCAAGATCTAATTGTTAATTCTCCCCTCTTGCTGCCACACATTTCCTTGCTAATTAGTTTGGGGAATTTGGTGTTAGATCAAGATAGCAACGTCTGCTTGACAAGTTTGAGTATTCTCAATAGCTGTTTGCTGAATAATGTACGAATATTTGAGGGAGAAGTTACTAGTTGATCACTAGTGAGAGTTTAAGGGTTAAGAGAGGGTGAAAAGGTGAACCCTGATACAACGAATAGACTGCAGCCCTAATTCAACGAATGAATGTCTATATCTAACTTGATCTCAGAATCCTGTGCACAACAGAGCATTCGTTATCCTTAGTAGAAAGCGTAATTTTCTTTCCGTTTTTTCGAAGGAGCGGAGGAGGCGCGTGGCGAAAGATGAGACACATGTGAAGATAGAGCCGCGCGCGAAGAGTGAGGTAGGCGCGACTCTTATCCTTCGCGTTCGCCTCGCGCTAGTCTCTGTTCCCCTGTAAAACGAAAGGAAATCAAGCCAGGCAAACGCGAATAGTGCAAATGAGGCAAACGCCAATAGTGCAAATGAGGCAAACGCGAATAGTGCAAATGAGGCAAACGCGAATAGTGGCAAACAAAAAAACAGGCAAACGCGAATAGTGCAAATGAGAAAAAATTGTAAAAGAAAAAAAGAAAATAAAGAGAGAACGCAATGTCATCAAGAGAGGGAAAACCAAAGAACTTTTAACAGGAGAGGGAAGGGCAAAAAACCAATTCCACTGATACCGCCAAAATGAACGAGTTACCAAATCTAACTGTATCAGCGAAGTCACGCGTTAATTATCTAGAGAATATCAGAATGCGCATAAAGAATGTACAACAAGCAAATTAAATTAGCTTTAAATTGTTGAAAGCAATTATTTTTACCGTCAGTTACAAGAAAAAAATCGAAGCGTTCAGAGTTTCACTTACGGGAACTTTGTCTGTATTGTCAATCAACATCTTTACGGCTTTCTAAAATACAAATAATATAACAAGTACTGTGAAGGTTTAGAATCTATCGCCTGCTCTCTTAACACTTTGTCCTCTTCATTAAGTTGTCGTCTTTTGCTCTGATAACTCTTACATCAAACCTTGGACCGAAGTTGACCCCTGATGTCAAAATTAAGCAGTATCCTTTCATACTATGATGTTTATGGAGAGAAAAAAAGCTAGTACCTCTTTGTCAAATTCCATGAGCATAATAATCTTGTCCTGAATGGAGCTAAACAAGTTGTGTTGATGGATCAAGTTAAACACATCGCTGTGTCCAAGTCTGTAAAATAAAAACAGTTTGTACAGGTACACGAACCTTTTACAGCCTAACATCAGTATGCATATTCTCCACACTGTTCTCTATACATTTCTCATGATGCTAACAAGGAGAATTTGTTAAACAATCGAGAGCTTCTTTAGTTAGTGATCATGTCCTTTACTCTTGTGACTCTAATGTTTGATTCAGGGTGATGTTGTGCGGAGAAATTAGATCGTAGTCTCTCTTAAGATAAAAAAAGGTTATTTCAAGAAAATGAAGGTTGTTTCATGCGAAAAGATGAAGCTGGAACACTTCCCTTTCTTCCAATTTTGGTTGGCGTCCTAGACATAAAAGCGAGCTTCACATTCATTTAATGTTTCCAAAGGTTTTCACTCCATAAATTTTTCAATTTCTAAGCTGTACCAAGGGATTGACAGCAAATCATACTTTAGGTATATGGCTAGTCCTTTATCATATCTCTTCTGCCTCGTGTAACTACAACAGAAAAACATTGCCAAACAAAGCTGTTAGTCAAACACAACGAATATATGAAATTCATATATCTGAAGTACGGTTATAGAAACGTATTTGTGCACGATCCTCGCAGTAAAGAGCACTATTTAAGTAATAGTGAAAATCAGACCTGAAAAAATTCAGGCCTGTGCGGGATTCGAACCACTGACCTTTGCGATACTAGTGCAGCGCTCTACCAATTGTGCTAAGAAGCCAACTGTCATCAAATTAATTCGACATAAACCCATAAAGACATAAACCCATAAAGAGCATATTTAAGCAATAGTGAAAATCAGACCTGAAAAAATTCAGGCCTGTACGGAATTCGAACTACTGACCTTTGCGATACTAGTGCAGCGCTCTACCAATTGAGCTAACAAGCCAACTGGGAGCAGGTCATCAAATTAATTCGACATAAACCCGTAAGATGACAAATCAAACACAACGAATTTATGAACAATAGCTTGAAAGGCGAAGTTAGACAGGACCAAATACTCTTGACTCACAGTTCTCCGAGAGTTTCCAAAAGAACGCGGTTATCTGGATCCTTTTCCAGCTGATCCTACAAAATGACAACAATTTACAAGGTTAGTTGCTTTCTAGGTCAGCCAGGAGCTCTTGTACACTCACACAGGTGAGGTTGTCAATCAGTCTGTATGTTAGTTTGTCAGTCAGACAGTCATTCACTTTCACGAAGGGCAAACGCTCAAACGTCAGCTTTACAAACTCTTTACGGTGGCCAATTTACATCATCATTTTACAGCAGTGTAAGGTTTCATTCGATTAATTTGTATATATTTCAACAATGCTGCTGAAGGACAACATGAACAGATTATCATCAACTAAGTTGATAAAACCAAATTATCTTGAAATACCCAACACCGACACAGCACCACAGCTTCTTTAGCAACTTACCCCCTTTAGGCACCCGGTCAATTTGTCAGAAGGTTCTAATCCATAGGTCAGTGGGTGAGTTTACCAGTCTGTCATTGAAAGACATATGGTCCTTCTTTTGAAACTATCAGCCTTTAGTTAGTCAGTTGGTGGACAGTCAGTTTGTCTGTCAGTCAGACACAGTCACCCAACAGTCAGACAGTCCTTCAGCCAGTTAGTCAGTTGGTGGACAGTCAGTTTGTCTGTCAGTCAGACACAGTCACCCAACAGTCAGACAGTCCTTCAGCCAGTTAGTCAGTTGGTGGACAGTCAGTTTGTCTGTCAGTCAGACACAGTCACCCAAGAGTCAGTCAGTCGATCAGATTAACTCAGTTTCAATTTTTCAAACGTTCCAAACACCCACCTGTACAGCATTGATGATGGGTTGCACGCTGTATAAATCCACTGGCCATTCCTTAATCAGTGCCTGAAATTTCTGAAATACAAACAGGAAGCTCCAAATCTATCCACAATCTAGTGATTCAAGGAGGCATCCATGAATGACAACATCTTGTTTGAAAACAGAAACAGGTTTTTACCAGCAAACAAAAAAAATTAGCATCAAACTTGGAGAAACAACAAACACCTGAAATATGTCCAGAATGTGTATTGTGTTGTGACCAATCACAGTGGAGGTCAGGACATGAAAGCCAACCACATGATCACTTACTTGTAAGTGTCATTGCATACAGTTAAGTTTTTCCATGCTGGATTGGTTCGTTTTCCTTAACATGTAGCATGTCAGAGTTAACATCTAGTGAAATAAGATTGTCTCCCCTGCTTAAAAAAGTTTCTCTAGAGAAGAAATAGCCGCACATGTACTATACTTCTGAAATCGCATTGGAAAGTGGGCTTTGTCAAGACATATTGCTATGATCATTGTTAATATCATTGTGGTCACTATCACCCTCATCATTACAACTACACTAATCACATATTCTCATTAATTCACATTTTTACTGGACAGGTGTTCCTGCTGATCTCTGATTGGATAATCACAATCCCAAGATCAGCAAGAACAGTACGAACTTAGTGTGGTTGGATGAATACCTTGACATCTTTCTTGAGGAAGTCATAGAGAACCATTTCATAAATTGCTGAGCTCAGCTTCACTGGACCTGTAGGAATGTACGGGGCAATAGCCTGATGAAGGAAGAAAATCCGTTAAATAATAATAATAATAATAATAATAATAATAATAATATTAGTATAATTTCAGAGCTGAACAATGGAGAAATTTCTAAAATCATAACATTTTAATAACATTTATTAACATTTTATTTTAATTAACAAATGATAAACACCACAGTGTACACTATTGAGTTATGGATGCGCGCGGGAGGTTGCTAAGCACGAAAGAAGTGTAAGAGTCGCATGAGGTGATAGCCGAGAGTGACTCTAGCTTCTTGAGTGCTTAGCAAACCTCCCAAGTGCATCCATAACTCAATAGTGTACGCTGTGGTGTTTACCATCTAACGAGTTCCCTTTTATTTAACAAATCTTACATGACCAGAAAAAACAAGCGCGCGCGGAAAAATAGTCTATGCATTTAATCACGTCAGCAGCGTACACCCATGGGCAAATGGGAGATGCTAAATTGACCAATCAGAGCGCGCACTTTACTTTGGTTATGTTATAACAGTTTATATAAACCATGTGGAGTGGTTTATATAGTGTCATATAAGGAACCGCTCGACCAATCAGATTGCTGGAAACTCTTTGCTCAGCTCTGAAATTGTACTAATGTATTGATATTGTTAGGAAAAATTCTGTCTTGGTTAAAATCTTAGAGTCTGCATTAGAATATTAATATTATAAGAAAGTTCACTATCTGATGAGGGAATTCCACATTAAATTGCATGTGAAAACCTATATTGCATGAATTCAACCAATTTGGTTGAAATGGGATTTCCCTTGATTAGCATATTGAATAAAAATAAGAAACAATGAAAACAGCAATGAGATTGTTTGTTTTTATCCTGATTGCAAAATAAGAGATGCCAAATTCACTTAGCCTTGTTTTCAACACGCAATTCCATGATGAATACTTTGCTGGTTTACCAACCAGAATGCAAGATTTTATTCAATTTAGCGATTCCATGGTATATTGTGACTAGGAGTATTGCAACTCCTACTTCTTTGCAGATTTATTCAATAATTAGCCCTCTCCATTTCACCAGGTTTTCCTAACAAATTAATAAGCTACAATGCTTATTTTACTTTCCTTGCCACAAAACAGGTCACCCCACATGAAACTTGACCAAGCATCTTACACCTGAAGAGTCTGGCAGAGTAAACATCAGTGGCTAGGGCGAAATCTTTGACCTACCTGATGATTATGTTTCTTGACTTCTCTACTGTTTGTTTCAGATACACTCAGAGCTTCCTAAAAGAAGGTATTTGAATGACACCTTTATTTAAAATAAATAGAAATCCCAACATCAGGGTAGTCCCATCAGAACGTAAAGCTCTGCTATCAATAGGAGCCCTGGTAATTAGGTAAAGTGTAAAATAAATTTGTTTTACTAAACAAGGGAAATGGCTGATCATTATGCTTGGTTTGCTCAATTAACAATTG